CCATTCATAATTTTTATGTGGTCGCCGTCAATGGGGAGCCTCCTTTTCTCTTTTCCCTTCCGTCCGAATCGCCATCGTTGAGCGTTTCAGGCATACAAATGTCTCTGACCAAATCTCTTCCCTTCCAACCCAGGTGTTTTTCTTCTAATCCGCCATATTCTATTCTAATTATTTCTTTTTTAAAATGAAATATACTTGTGATTTTTATTCATTGTTACAATGTTGTATCGCGTAGTCGTGTATTTATTTATGATAACGTCATTGGAAAAAGAAAAAAAGATACGAAGATAAGTAATATCACGAGTGCCAATATTTCATTTTTGTTTACGTGAGCACACGGCTTGTCCAAAAGTTTTGACTTAAGTACTTTGACTACCTCCAAACAGATAAATACATGTGATACACCGATCGTATCAGAATGTACTCAGATGTGCTCGAATATAATCTAGTTATGTAAGTCATTTATGTATCCTCGTGCTGGCTACGATAGCTATCTATTATATCGATATCCTGATTAAACCGTTACGTCAGTCGTATCGCACGAATTTCCCCGTAATGCGTCGATTCGTATCGACGATTTGACGCGCGTATACATGTCGACCACGAGAGGCGGGTAACTACTTGAGGCCCAGTAAAGTCCACGGATGTGCCCCATCACGTACTGATTTGTGACGCGTTATCGCGAAGGAAAACGCACGGATCTTACGAAACGTATTAACATGGCTGCACCCAAGCGAAACATAATGCCGACATGGAAACACGATACTCGCTCACTAGGATGCACGTTGGTGATTCAATCGAGTGCAATTACAAATCTAGATCACATGTTGAATATTTTACAATGAACCTGCAACATCCTGCATATCTCCTCAACGGAAAGACGGAAGCAAATCGGAGCTCGAAGCGCAAATCTTCGATTCATCTTCGTCCGTAATTAAGTTAACTCGTTGCACCGTTATCAACCAGTGCCGCGTCTAATCTCGCGGTCGTCACAACTAATATGAACCGATCGCATGTCAAGGCAACATGACACGAGAAACTGCGGAGTGTACACTAATCCATTTCCCGCATTGCTATTTTATTTTAAGCGTAACATTTTGGTAAAAGAGATACACACGTATTGTGATTTTGATAAGGTAGGAATGGGAGAAGGGGGGTCCAGAATTGTCAAGCAAATTATCGAAGCGGACTTGATGAGAAATCTATTTCATGTTAACGGCTCGGTGACATGAATTAGACTGTTCTTTTGTGCCGTACGGGTCGTCAAAACAAACTTTTCCTACAGATACATTCGTCATTCTAATTCACTCGTCAATAATACGCAAACTTGTTAGCTATAAAATCTAATAACCACAATATACTTTGGTACACCTTACATAATTCAAATATAAGGTCTCTGTTCGTTTCGTGACGTCTGTACGGTTACACGATAATTTTAAGTTTCGCCGTGTGTTGTGACATTTTGTCGGGAGGAATAATGCTGCTAGTGGCATAACAAATTGTAAGCTTAACCGAGGCATTCATCTAGGCGGTTCCTCGATACATCAACGACGTCGACGCTCTCCGGTCTTACCACGCGACATGGGCAAAAATAACGCAACGGAATCAAAAAGGACGAGAAGACGCGAAAGTGCGAGAACGAAGAGGTTGTTATCTCAATTAAATTGATCGACTCAGATTAGTGTTATGAATTCCACCGCGTTCTAAATTTAATGCCAACGCCTGGCCGCGCACGGTCGTCGCGATGCAGAGAGCGTGGTTTACAGTTTCATAAAAAAAAAAGAACAGTCGTGTATTTGTGGGCGCGACAATTTTTCAAGCTGGAATTAAACGGCGAGCGTGGATCGCATCGCGCAACGTCATACGACCGACCGTTGCATTCGCGTTCGCTGAGACGTGTCGGATCAACGTGCTGCAGATTAATTTGGGCAACGATCAGTGTCAATATTGCTTCGATCATTTTACCTCGTGGATATGCTAAAGCCATGTGGTATGGAAATTTGGAATTGCGACCAAAAAGATAGGATTTTAAGTGATAAAAATAGATTGAAAAATTCTTTTTTTATCTTCCGATTCGTCGAACTACCTGCACATATCTGCAAATATTTAGGAGTCGCTGATGATAAATTTATACGTTCGCCTTGTGCTGTTCGTTTATGATTCGTTATTTCCTCAAGCGCAGCGACACGTTACGATATATGGCGATTACCGAGCAACATTGATGTAGCGTAATTAATTGCTCTTCATTGTTAATAGTTTAGTTTTAAGGTAATATGAATGATTATGAATATGAAGATGGTGACGGTAATAATTTCGATGAATTTTGTAGCTTTATATGCATCGTTATTTGATCGGGGAATTTTGTTTTTGACATGCAATTAAAAATATACTTTTCATAAATAGGCAAAGATAATCCATGCGTTCCTTCGTTGATGTGTTTCATATTACAAAATAATACGCGCGGAATGTGATGGATATTACAGATGAAAAAACAATACTTTATGAGTGACGAGTTATTGTCTACATATATACATACGTCATATATTAACGATAATATGTCAACGATAAACACTGACCAATGTAATTATTTATCTCTTTTGTTTTTTTTTTACTGCACTATAAGTAGAAAATAACAGATAAGAGGCCATTTAATTTATCAGCACTTGAACAATATGCTGTATGTAAAGTGGTTGTAATATACTCTCGCTTTTGCATCGACATTCCTTCACATCTTCAATATCATCGTTTTATTATACTTGCGCTACTTTGTGTCGATACATTTGCGTTGTGTTAGGATTTTTCGCGAGCAGTAAACGTCTGGATTCTCACGTAATTTCACGCGAAATATAAAATCAATGTAAAAGAGGAAATTAATTCGTATTCTAATAACTGCGAATATAAACGTGAAATAATCGGGAAGAGCGACCGAACGGATATGGGAAAGATGTGCGTGGAGCACGCACCAATTACCACCTTCGAGATACGGTTGAAATGCAGCGGCATGCGATGCTGCTATTATGACAAAAACCTTCGTTGTTAGTAAGACAAGATAATTATTCCGCCGAGCTCGGCTCTTCGATCATTTAGGCGTGGCAACACATGTTCTCAGTTCAGCGCTATGCGCGGCGTATATGCAAGGTATACCTATATACAGCGTGTCAGGACACGTGGGTACGGAACCTCTCCGGCTTGCCAACGGCTATTCATTTTCGCAACCCTCACCTTCGCCGCCGAGAGAGAAAGGGAGGGATTCCTCCCTGCACAAATTATTCGATACGCCTCGTGAGGCCAAAACGAGTTAACGACGCCTAACGACGACGCGTCGCACGCATCGTGATTTTAATGGCGAAAATTATTTACTAAAAGGAGAACGCCTTTAATACAGCTTCGCGGCGCGAAAATTAGCCGATAGTAATTTCTGCAAACGATGACACTCTGTCGCAGTCAGCCGACAAGAAGTTGCTTTGTAATCGCGCCGACAATATTTTCGCCTTGCGCGCGATCGTTACATAGTTTGTAATAAGGAATACATTTGTCGAGTTATGTATTATGCGTGTGCGTATATATATGTGCGCGCAAGGCTACACGCGAGAACTAATACATACACGTTACATGAACGTTAGATCATTAACTACACATTTTACTTTCAAATATCAACGAATTAACGCTTCGAGAGATTACATCAAGAAAAAAAAACGCAAATCAAACTATTGTTAACATACAAAGATGGGAAAAATGCTGAATTAATATCGAATCTATACATATAAACTCAGTGCGCTATAAATCGATACTATACCTATATTAGACTGATCTAAAAGTTGGTTTATTTTTTCGTTTATTGTCGCAAGAGATATGCATAAAAAAAACTTTTGCATTTATTATCAGTATAATACACGTGTCGTCAGCAACTGTAATTTAGATAACAGACGGGTTTATTATAAGCTATATAAATAATATCGCGGTCATGTCGATCGGTAATTTGTGCAAAAAAAAGAGTGTCAAGAGTATTTTTCGGGTTTAACATTTCTGCTTGTAGTCGTTTCAGCGTAAAACGGAGCAAAAATAGCCAATAGATATCGGACTCCGGTAAAAATGTTTCACGGAAATTCGCGCTATGCGTCATTCCTTATTATTGATTATGTGACTATGGATACGTATTTGTTTTACACAAGTCGAAAAAAGGGATGAGATACGATGGTGTTAACAAGCGCGGCGATCGGATCGTTTAAACATGCGGCTCTTTGCTGATTCGATTACTTCGTTTTACAATTGGCACGATAAGCCGTAAACGATACAAACACGGCGATAAATAATTCCGACTGTGATCGGAAGATCAGTTTGCCGTGTTTCACTAAAACGTTAAATGTAAGGAGAATCAGAACGACAGTAACGACACGTACGATATTCGAGACGTCCATTTCGCGGACTCACTTATTTATCAACAAGGTTACTTTTTTTTCAATTCGCTTATCTCACGGATAATTATCGATTTTTTTTTGCACGACACGGCCGTTAAGTGATTTCTTTTTACAATGGTGCCTGATATACCGAAACGAGCTAGCTCGAAGTGCAAACGGGAATCATTGATATTAGGAACGTGATCTCTCGGATAACTACTGCGACTTATCAATCTACTTATGTCTTTGATCATTGACTACGCTACATCAATCTTATCACTCGTGCTAATTAACTCGGCTCTTTTTCCGGCACGTATGATTCGAAAGCTCGCAGCTTTTAAATCCCAACGTGCACATTCACCGCGCCTTTCAAATTTTATTATCAACAAATTCCACACACGCGCACACGCACTAACGTCAAAGTTACGTCAAAGCGAATACCGAAGCCTCGACCGAAAACTTACGAATAATTCCAAGCATACGGAGCTGTCGCCGCGCGTGATTTTTACTCGCAAGCGGACGTGTGCGCGCGTTGCTCCAAGAGGCCCGAGATACGGGCATCGAGAGCTCTCACGGGGAGTACGCAGGATCGAGAGCGCTCACCTGTAGATTTGGCGATCCTCGGAAGGAGAACTGTGACATGATGTGTCGGCCGCTCAGGGCCGTGATGGTCGGACACCGCTACGCGATCATCGTTCCAGAGGTCCGCGGCACTCTCGCAGTGCGCCTTCGCTCCCGACGCAGTCACTCCGCGGATCCGTCACACTTTCGCTCTTTCCTCTTTCCTTCTCCTTTTTTTCACCAGCGCGAAGGCTCACGCGGTAGGCGCGAGGACCCTCTCTGTCGCGTGTCCAGCCACCCCGGCGAGGGGGGTGCTACTCGCGTCGACGGCACTCCCGTGCGCCCGGTCGTAGCGACTGGTCGCCCGGCTGCGCTCGAACCGGTCGAAATCGGTGGCGGTCCGCTGCCGGCATATGCACTCGCACTGTCACACGCGGAAACAAGCAGAGGCGCGAAAGCGACCGAGAAGTGGTCCCCCGGAGCGGTTCTGCTGTTGCAACTACCGTGTATCGTAGTCGTCGTGCACTCGCGAAGCAGGTTGCGAAAGAAAGTGCCGCGGACGACGATCGGCGATACGGTCGTCTCGCGCGCGCACTCCGATCTCACTCCGAAGAGGGAACAGCGCGACCAAGAGTCCTCCCGAGGAAGGAGCGCGAGCTCTGCTCCGGCACACCGGAGTGTCGCGAGTCGCGGTAACCAGTGTCGCGCGAAAATAAAAAAAAAAGATCGAAGGGCACAGAGAGCGCGCGGCGCGATGCGTGGCACTTGTCGCGGTAACGCGCGATGCGGTTAGTCGCGGACGGCTATTCACTCCGTTGATCCGATCGACGCGCCAGCTATGATCGGTCGCGACTATCCTCCGAATCGTCGTTTCTTTTCGACGGAATCCAGTCCTCCGCTCGGCGGATAGGAAGGCGGAGGTACACGGATCGCGGGCGCGAGCGAGACGGCCACGGTGAGGGAGAGCGAGAAGGGTAGACGGGATAGAGGGAGGAGGGAGCGAGAGCGAGCGAGCGTCAGAGGGACGGGACGGCGAGCTAAGCGAGGGGGGAGGAGGGGCCGAGAGGGAGAGAGAGAGAGAGAGAAAGAGTGAGGTAGAGTGGTAGGTTGAGCGAGGGTGTCGGAGGGACACCGCTGAAAAAGGAGAGGAATGACAGGGAGGAGGACAGACTGAAAGCGAGAGAGAGAGAAAGAGAGGGAGAGAGAGAGAGATGAGTGAGTGAGGGAGAACGGTGAGGACGATGTGAATCGCGCACACCGGCCGTCTCTTTTTATCCTTCGCGGTCCTTCCACGCAGCCGGTCGCCTGGCGGCCTGCGCAATCACGCGCCTCGAACTCGCGAAAGAGATGCTGCGTTCCGTCTTCTTATTCCTCCTCCTCCTCTCGCTCGTGCCGATCGCGGCTGCTCCGGTCGTGGCGCTACCGATCGCGCGCACCGCGAAAGCGCCAAGTACGAACTGACGGAGGCGCGTGTTTCCGCCGCGTGCACGCCCGCTCGCTGCCGACGCAACAGCGACAACGACCAGACACCGTATGTTGTTCTTGCTCCGTATTTCTGCCCCCCTCCTGTTTCCTTGTTTCTCTTTCTCTCTTTCTCTCTCTCTCTCTCTCGCTCTCTTTCTTTCTCTCTTTCTCTCTCTCTCTCTCTCTCTCTCTCTCTCTCTCACTTTGTCCCCGTAAGGTTTCTCCTTTTTCCGTGCGATGACTAATGTGAGAATTCAACTGTACGTTTATTTATTATCTTAGGGTTCACTTTCACGCGATTGTCAATGGGAGACGAGTTCGTTTCACGTTCACCGAGCGCGATAAGCACTGTGGCCGATCCGCCGTCGGTGGCCTCTATCGCGTCACCCGATTTCGCGCAAGTTCGTTCCTCGCTCGCGGAGGGACAAGCTTGGTTCGCGGTCTGTAAGTTGCCGTTGTACCCCACGTTCCGCGAGATGACGGTTGATCGCGGAGTCGTAGGAGGAGGCGACGGGTACAGTGCCGGTGGCGCTGGCGGTAACGATAGTATCACGCTAGTGGTGGTGGCCCGATGACGAGAGAAACGCTCGAAACTCGCCGCCGAGTCTAGTGGTGGTGATGGTGATGGTAGTGGTGGTGGTGGTGGTGGCAGTGGCAGAGTCGTCGCCGTGGTTCTTTTCCTTCCACGGAAAGGGGGACGATTTTTGCGAGATGGTTTGCCCTCGGCGAGGCGGGTGGGAGGGTCCAGATCGGTACGGCGCGCGGTGTGGTGGGGGTACGGGCACCACCTCTGCCGCGCCGATGCCACGCTCTCTCGCCCGCGGCCCGCTGTCTCTCGTACCCGCGCGCGAATTCGTTCCGCGGGTAGCTCTCGTATTAGCACGCCGGGTGTCGTGCGTGGCTCTCTTCTCTTCCCGCACAGGTCGTCGGCATCCTACTTCGTCGATCGGGCACGGAGCCGGCGGTTAGCGTCGGCAAACGCGACAATAAAATATGGTGAGTCGCCCGTGGGGCTCGGCTAGCTCCCTACGCTTTCCCTCCCTTTCGCCGCTCGCCCGAGTCGGGGATCCTCGTTTCTCCCATCCTTTTCCCTCCTTTCCTCTTTCCGTTTTTTGTCTCTCGCTCTTTCGCGGGACAGTCCGATAGCTCGCTCTCGCTTCCTCGTTCCTCCTGATGCCCCACCGTAGGCGCTTTCTTCCCTCTTCGTTCTCGGCTTTCGTTCCCGTGGAGGGGATGGGTTTGAATGAGACGGAGGGGGACGCGACCGGCCGAGATGCTGCCACGCTCCCGTATGGTGGGGCGAGAAGAGTGTGAGCGGTCGGTAGCGCTCGGAGGGGGATGAACGGGAAGGTTGGCGGACGACAGGGTTGGGTTAGGGGGTGGGAGGGAGGCACGGAGGTAGAAACTACACGACAATTTTAGTTCGATAGATCCCAAAGTTTAGCCTCGGCGGCGCTGCTTTACTTGCCGCTGACTTCTTCCCGGTAGTTTGTTCGTTGCCCTCTCTCCCGTTGCTGTCGGCTGCTTCTTCCCCTCCTCCTCCTCGGACACGACCGCACACTCCGACTCGTGTCTCCCACCATCGAGGCCCCACCGTCTTCTTTCTTTCTCTTTCTTTCCTCCTCCCCCTTCCTTCCGCACGAAGACAAGATCGCCGACTACTTCGTACCCCTTCCTGCGCCCGGAGTTAGCTCTAATGCCGCGCTACCTGCCACTCCTCCTTATTCTACGCACTACGCGACACTTGACTACACAAACTTCCGTCTCTCTCTTTCCGTCCTCGTGTACCTACATCCTATCCCTTTCTCTCGCTTCTCGCTTCCTCTCTGTTTCTTCCTGTCCTTCGCGCCTCGCACCTCTCTCGCTTCCACCTATGTCTCGTTCATGATACAGCTCCCACCTGCAGCATCGTCCGTCTCCCTCGCGCGTTTACATCGCGGAATGCACGATCGTCACTCCGCCGAGCGTATTACACATTACATGGACGGCGTTTACGCAGAGTACTATGCTCGTTCCGACAGTTTAATGCGACGATGTCGCATGAACGTCCCACCGTGCAACCCGGCCGTCAATCATTTCGTTAGATTGTTACACCGAGATTTTTTGCAATTTCGTTTCACTATTTCTCCGCAGAATTCGGATTAATCAAACTAGCGAACGGATGAATAGTCTTTTCTTTTTTAATGCTCCGTTATCTCGACTTACTTAGATCATCCAATCGAGGCAACGCGTAAACATGCACAAACACCTATCCGAGCGATATCCGAGTGGACACCAAATGAGATAATTGTGGCGACGATGATCAGAAGGACCTTGACGGGAGCATCGTGAGAATGCTTCGCGCAGTTTTTTCAAGGCAACTTGCCTCCTCGCGTACTCGTTCGCCCTCCCGATGTCACCGCCAACGAAAGGGGCGGATAGGAGCAGCCGAAGGTAGTGGGTCGCGGGCGCGAAAATATACCCTGTCGTCCACGCTGGTGGGGGGTCTCTCGCGTGCGGGGAGGGAAAAAAGGACTCGCCGATATTTTTCGCCCACTGATCGACGACGCGCGCACACGCGCGTACCTGCCTGCCGGCGGCGATATTTTTGCAGAGCGCGCACACATACACACAAGAGAGCGCGCTCCACGTGTATTCGTGCCGGTGGTGGACGCAGGGGAGAGAAATGCGGAAAGAGAGAAAGAGAGGGAGAAATAAAGAAAGAAAGAGAGGGAAAGAGAAAGAGAGAGAGAAGTGCGGGGATAAATCGTCCCCCTTCCATATTTCTTTTGCCTCCCCCTCTAACGTACCACGGTGGGTGCGGAGCTCGGCTTTTTTCCCCTCCGTGGGCGCGGACTAACCTCGCCCCGCCTTCATCTCCTTCGTTTACGGCCCCCTCCACCCTTCGCGGATGGTGTTGTAGCGCGGCGACGAGAGTGACTACCGCTGAAACTCGTGACGCCGCTGCCTCTCTCTCGCCGTCACCCCGCGACCGACGTGCACGGCACGCCGAGCTACCGCTTCGCGCTCTTGCCCGCCGCCGCGGCCGTCGGAGCGACGGAGGAGCTTCATCGAGGGAGCGAGACCGCCGACGATCGTGACGGAAGCGGGATGAAGAAGAGAACTGGCCAGAGCGGAAGGAGGAGGGGTACACACCGAGATGTGAAACATTAGTGTACCGTTTGTTAACACCGCGGTCTACACACAATCGCGCGCAACTCTCTCTCCCTCTCCTCGCCCACCACGTCCGGCCCCATCGTCCCCTCGTCGCCCTTCGCTTTCTTTAAGAGGGCGTTGCTGGTGGTACGTGCTGGCAAGGACAAGCGCGTGTGAGCGCCTTCCTTCTTCGTGAGTTCATCGCGGAATGCTGGCACGTAGGAAGTATCTTTCTCTCTCTCTCTTTTTCTTCAAGTCGCGTTCTTTCCTCCTCTCGCTGTTTTCCTCTCCTCTCATTCCTCCTTTCGTGCTTTAACTCCATCTTACCACTATCTTACTCCCCGTCCGTTCGTCCTTAGGGTGCCAACTTTTCGCGAAAGCCGAATTTGTCGTGCACAGAGAACGTCGACGTAGCCGCTTTAAACCGCAACTCCGAGAACTAAGCTGCATGCTGACCGATATCGCGCATCGATATTGGATTTCCTGTGCGTGCGTGTGTTTGAGAAGTCACTTTGGTTTCGACTCTTGGAACGATTTGTGGTGACGATAGAGAACTACAGAGGGTGATCGTTTTTTATCGCGATGTCGTCATCAGGGTATTGACAGTAAATCGAGATAACGATATAGACACCGCGAGAACTGCTCCTGACCACAATGAAGATCGTGCTGGATTGACAGAGCAACTCCAGCATGTGCATTGTGCTAACTGCTACATCGGACTTCTTTTGTGACGGACAATTATCAAATTATTGACGGAGTGACTCGCGTTCGCAAAATCTGCTGCACGATTTTTTCTAACGCACTTTGTCGACGTGCATCAAGAAATTCGTCGGTGCCAATCGTTTCGATAGATATAAATGCGTTCTACCTTCATCTAATGAGAAAGTGTACCGAACGTTAGTTATATTTTGTGATCTTGTTGGGCTTTTTTCGCCTGATCGTATATATTTAAGCTTACAACCTTTAAGTGTCTTACGTTCTTGTAGTGCGTCATAATTTCATGATGCGATGCTATCGGCAGTTATGTAGCTTAATTCGAAGGTTGTTTATCACGACACGCATAATGCTCGTATCGTAGAATTTTATGCGGATACGAATATTCTTTTACCGTAATATGTGATTCGTGTGTCGTATTACGTTATATGAATGTTAAAACCTTCAATAAGGTTTTAACATTATAAGATTCGTAAAGGAAATTCAGTAACAATTAGTTATTTAGGATTTCTCACATATTACGAAATAAATTCTTCGTTTTTTAAGTTATAAATATGCGTTCAACAGGGACAAATTTGTACAATTGTCAGGTTACACATATAGAAGACTCTTAAACAACAGCGGCGAGCATTCTCGTGAATGCATAACCAGCACGGAAGCGATGTAGACGTTAAGTGGTGCGTTTGACAATTTGACAGAGTAGACATACGGAATGTTAGATGCGATGTGGATCAGCGATGCCTATCAGCGATGCACGCAAATGTGTAAAACACACCGCGGACACGTTGTACGTGATGACACGATACACACGTGTAAAGTAGACGTGTCCACTCGCACGTGAATTGATCCGCCAAGATCTATATGGAGGCTGTCAGTGTCTTGACGATAACCCGCAATTATAGATCGCGCGCGATAAGTAAAGTGCACGTAATACCGCAAAAGCGAAAGGGACTCGTCGTTCGACATCGCCCAGGCAAACTACGGCTCATCACGTCGCATGTTCACCGACAACTCGGCAATTATTCGCACGGAACACACATCATGTGTATATTAATGCTTAGTCGACGTCGCGAAAGCGATTCTCCCCGCGAGGAGAATGGAACAGGTGCCTCGTATACAATTTTAGTACACGCAATGAATTCCATGTTTGTCGCATCGATTCCCTTTATCCTGTCCTTTAATCCTACGACGACGGTAACTAAGGACTGCGAAATTTAAAATAAAGAAAAACTAATTACACCGGCAATTCAATCCAAGTTACTATACGTTCCGCAAATCCGCAATCAATCATCTAGGCAGATGCAAATATTTCTTTTTC